TTCCATTTCTTTTTTATACGATGTTATGTTTCTGCTACTCTTTATTCAACTGTTGTTGTTGAACGAAATTAGGTGATATAAAGTGGTATTGTGTAGCGGTATCGATAGAATGTGTTTTTTTATAAGTGAATTAAGCGCAATATTTTTTCGATAAATTTCCGCTTAACCGGATTCGTCTACAGAAAGAAGTAAAATAAATATAAAATAAAATAATAAATTTTTTTTGTTTTATATTTTCCAAGTACGCGGTGAAAATCGTGTGTGTATAAAAAAAGATATGAATGAATAGAAATAAGTGTATGTGCTTTATAATAAACAAAAAAATAATTTTTTGAAGAAAGAAAAAAATGAAGAAAATAAATTTTTTAAAAATGTTCACTGAAATTGGATGTAAAAGCGGAGTACAATATTATTACTTTCATTATACGAGTGGATATTCTTGTTGATTCAACTTCCTTAAGGGTGAGAAGAAGTTCCTCAAAATAAAATAAAGTGTAGAGTGTGTGAAAGTCTCGCTTCTTAGAAGGCAAAGGGAAAAAAAATTGATTTTTTGTTCCGTTTGATTTTGTTTCTGTATATTTTTTTTTGCTGCTGTTTCTTTATCTAGAAGAATGGAAATAAAAATAAAAATTTTCTAGTTGATCTAATAGAAAAAATTGAGTGTGTAAAAGGGTTTATTAAATTTGTTCTATGTTTTACTACTGAAAATTCATTCAACATTTTTTTAACACATGCTGTGAAATTGTAAAAAAATAAAATGAAAAATTTGTGCACCAACAAATGGATTTGTATGAGAAATATTGGATATTTGTGAATTTAATACATTATTTGCAAATGAAATTGAGTTTTTAAAAAATTAAGCTGTTGAAAAAAAATAAAATTGTGAACAAAAAATTATTTGTGGAGAAAAAAAAAGGTTTTATATACAAAATTTGTAAAATTTTGTAGAAGAAATGATTAAAAATAAATTTACTGGAGAAAAAATTGAAAAGAAAAAAAAATCTGTGAGCAAAAAAATAATCTGGAGAAAATAATAAAAAAATATTTCTGTAAAGATGAAAAAAAAATTAATTTTGACAAAAAAATCTCAAAAATAAAAAATTTCCAAGAAAAAATTGTAAAAAAATATTTGTTGTTAAGTTAAAAAAATTGTTTGAAGTAAAAATTAGTAGCAAAAAATATTTCTGTGGTCTCGTGTCAAGAAAAAAAAAATTTACGCTTAAAATGGCAATACTAGTAAATAAACGTAGTGATTTGAGTTGATGTTACGAAGTTTGTTAAGAAATCTGATTAAAAATTTGCTAATGAGCATGAAAAAAAAAATTATTTGCAATATTTGCTAAATTAGATTGAAAAAGTCAGAATTGTAACGATTAAAAATGAACTAAAATGAAATGAACTGAAATTTGATTAAAATATGGACTGAATTGTGAAAATTAGTTGAGTTTTATGACACAAAAATAAAGTTTTAATAGCTTTGTGGAAAAAAAAATAAAAACTGGACAACTTAATAAAAATTATTTTTTTAATAATTCAAAAATTTGTGAAAGTTGAAAAAGTAAGAACATTAATTTGTGAAATCAAATAAAAAATTGAACCAGCAAGAATTGTGAAATATGGCACTAAAAGTATTATAAAAAAATTCTAGTGCTTAGCATGGAAGTAAAAAAATCATATGTTGAAATAGTTCATATAAAACAAAAACAATACAGAGAGAGAGAAAGAGAATAAGTGTAAAATGCAGTTAGAAATGTTACAATGCTCTCTAGAAACAATTATAATTTATAATCCAAAAATTACTGACTGTGAAATATCAAAATTTTTTGAAAATCCAGTCAAACTTTTAAAGTGATATTAAAAAAAAATTAAGTTTGATCCACAAATCAAATGTTTCACATCATCATAATCATCAATAAATAAAATCCGAACCAAAACACAATTCAATCAACTTGAAATGAGATCAAAAAACCCAAAGTATTATAATCAGTGATGAAGTGTATCAAAGCTTAAATAAGATTCATTGAGAAATTATGATAAATGTACGAAATCATAAGATATGTGAAGAAAGAAAAAAACAACAAGAAAACACCAGGTTGTGCTCATTTTAAAGAAATTCAGAAAAGTGAAATGTAGTTAAAAATTGCTTACAAAACATAATAAAAAATGTCAAAAAAATAATTCATTGTGAAAACCTTGAAAATCTGTAAAAACAGTTTGTGTATAAACATGGATTAGTGAATTTCATGAAGATTAACTTCAAGCCAAAAAAACATACAAGCATGGAATAAATACCAAAAATAAAATGCTCAAACCCAATAAGTGCTCTAATTTGTGCCACAAAAAAAATTGTGAAATAATTCCATCAACGCAGTGTGACTCTACGTAAAATAACAGCTGACATTCAATCAGAACAAAAAGAAAACAAAAAACCAGTCAAATTACACTCAATATCCAATATTTCTTCGCAAAAGTTGCGCTCAAAAAAAGTTATTTTATTATTATTAAGTTTTGTAGGGATGAGAATAGAAAGAAAATCGTTGTCCCTTTCAACATTGGCCCATTTGCATTTTCAATTTCTACTGACTATGCTCTTTTTTATTTACTCATTTTTGGGGGTTGTATAGCAATGATGTCTTACAAGACATAAAAGGAACTCATAAATTCTCAATTGACGTCATTAGCGAATAACTCCAAACTCACTCAATTTTTTTGATTTCATTTTTTGTCTCATGAATGAATGTAAAAAAAAAGTAATCGACATGCACAAAAAGGGGTGACGATAGTATCAAGAAGCGTAGAATTGAGAATCATCAATATTCGAGATAAAAAAATTTTTTTTTTCAAGGGGTTGCACATGAAAATGCAATGCAATCCTCGGATTTGTTTGCCATATAAATTTTATATCATATTACAAACACGGCTACAATCAATGACTGTATTTAGAGGGTGATTCATACACGCATTATTGAATTGTATTTATACATTTTTTTCCATTTCTTCTCACACTCTTCTTATGCTGCTCTTCTTCAACATAGCCGTATAGTTTATTTTATTATTTTTTTTGTGTCGATGTGACATGCTTCAATTTCATTTTGATGTGAACATTTCTCTCATTCGGTTCTTTCCATCTTTCTCTCCCCACACGTTCACTCATTCCTCTCTCGCTCGCTCGCACTATTGTTTAGTACGATGTGAAGTATGTTTGTATGTATGAATGTATAAAATATACACACAATATTGTTGTTTTGAATTATGGCTTATTGAGTGAGGGTGCGCTTTTTTCATGGCTATTTTCATCTATTAATACGTAATACTCTATAAAAGGGCTATTTTTGGATGGTATACATTTTTCTGCTCCTACCCATCGCTTGTTGGCGTCGAAATGTTTGAAATATGAAAAAAAATTTCCATTTTCCAATGAAAATTCAAGTGGCTAGAAAAGAGAAAAAAAGTATGTTTGCCTTCAACTCAAATCAACATTATATTAAATGTTACATACACATTCATGTCTGTATAGGGGTCAGGCTAGCAAAATAATCAAAATCGTATCTAATTTTCTAGAAAATGAAGAAAGCGTGTGTACACAATTGAAATGTAATATGCATATTCCTAGCTAAGTGGAAGGGCGAATGGCAGATTAACATTAATAAGCTCTCTTTTAACTTTTTATTCCAATTCCATTCCTTTTCGTCCGCATAATATATTTTATGTGTAGGCCCCAAAAAAAGCTCTCAAAGAAAATTTTCTTTTCGTTTTTTTAAATATCCTAAAAGCTTGGAACTTGATAAATTGTGGGATTTTCATTCAAACATAATAATTGGTGAGAAATGTATAAATAGAAACAGATCGAGAGATGTGGGCTGTTAATGGAATAGTCTATCGACTATAATCAAATGAATTCAATTCATTTTGATGGATTTTGTGAGGTTTATGTGAATGTAGACATGCACAGACATTAAATCTATGTAGGAATTATTTATCTTAAATATGACAATTAAAAGGTTTAGTATTAATTTTAGAGCAGTGATAATGGAAGTAGATTGAATTGGTTTTGTGATTGGTAATTTAGAGAATATTGATGAGGGATTTTTCTGGGAATTTTTTTCGACTTCAAAAGAAGCTTTAGAGTGAATTTAAAAGGTTTGGAACTTGAAAGGGTGCATTAGTTTGATGCAGTTTTTACATAAGCTGTCGGGCGCATATCTTGTGTCAAAGATGAGGGTCTGCAAATGTTTGATTAGAAGTCTAGCCATATCTTGCTTATTTTAAGGTCTATTAAGTTAAAAGCTAGGAAATTTAGGTGGTCTTTAAAGTTATCTTGCAAAAAACAGTTCAAAAGATTCAAAAATAACAGATATTTTGGATCAATTGAGGAACTTAAGCTTATATCTCATAAAACGTTAATTTTTTCCTCCAAAAAGTGCGTAGATTGATATTTGGTCCTTGATTTTTAAAAGAATTGTTTATAAAATCATAGCAAAACCTTATAAAATCATCCCACATGTTGAAAATTTCATTAGAATTCACTCCCTCAGTCGCTATTACCCACAGTGATTTTTCTCAAAAATTCTTGATTTTCACACAAACTTTCACTTTCCACACAAAATAAGAAAAGTTTTTCATGAGTTATTGCATTAAACCGACAAACTCCCACAACAGTTTCCAAGTCAAGACTTTTTTCATTCATAGAATTTCCCTCATAAAAAGTGTTTTGAACAAATAAAAAACATTTATGTAGGAAGATTCCAGCAGATACTAAGAAATAAACAATAAACAATTCTCATATTCCATTCAGCCAGTCAATTTATAAAGGAACATCATGTAAATTGTTGAATTCCCGTTTTCTTACTTGCCATCCTTTACATCTCAATCTACCATAAAAGAATAAAATAATAATCTCCACGGCGCTCGCACAAAAAAAAGCCAATTATCATAAATTAATTAAATTAAAAAATATTCGCCATTTATTTATCGTAAAAAAATTTCAATTTTGTCTTCAGATCGCATTAACGAATGAATAATCACGGGAGCTCAGTGGGAGCGACCCGAAATAGAGGTGGTAACCCAACTGATAAAATAACGCCAAATGTCTATTATCATCATACATTAGAGCCTCAAGCAACAACGATTGAGCATCAACAGCAGTTACAGCAACGACAAACAAATTGCAACAATTTTGGTGAGTTTGACTCTTTTTTTTTCGAGTGTGCAAAAAATTAGTAGGAAGGAAATTTTTCGTATATATTTTGATTAGAAATGGGCGGTAATTTGTGGGTGGACAAGTGTGTTGGTGTGAATGAAATTTATGCGATTTGTTAGAAACCAGATTGGTTGCAGGTCTTCCTGAGGAGTGATTCCATTTGACTTTTTGTTTGTAATTTCTTTATATGCTAATGTGACTCGATTAAATGTTCATGCGTTCGTCAATTAGGCAATATCAATGGGTGAACAATAGGAATTTTAATGGAATATTATCGATAGCTTTATGGTGGTATAATTGATTAGGGATGATTTTGACTGATTTTCTGGAATCCATAGTTTGGAAAATGTCGATCTATCATACTCTGCACCGCAGTCACTAATTTCCCTCTAACTTCCAACAAGTCAAACAACATCATCCCCCTAATCGTCGATTAAACCGATCAGCATGAGCTTCGACCGCTTTTAATGAAAATTTTCGCCAGAAAAGAAATTCATTTTTACATTCGTTAATTATTTTTCATGATTATTATCCTTCTCAGCGTAATGTGATATGACCAATATTAGAAGCTATAGAGTAGAAAAAAAAATAATGTGAATATTGGAAGGAGAAGTGAAAGCATTAAATACCCCAACTTGGTTGATTGACCAAAATAATTACAATTTTTTTTCGCTGCTGAACAATATGAGGGAATTTATTCTATCAATAATGTCGATAATAATCGTCAATATCGCTGCATGTAATATGATATGATCTTGACTACATGCTCAATACATTTAATTACAATTTCAATGTACACAGGGCTTATGGTATACCATAACAGTTTCAATGTGTTTGATTAATTTCTTTCAATGAACTTTAGCATTACAATTCATGACGTCATTCAAGCTTTCTTCTTTTCATATCAAAACGTCCTTTTCATCTCATCATTTATAAGCTTTATGGTCGTCATCATAAATTTTATATGTGTGTAGGTGTAACAAACAGAAAATTGGATTCTCCTGCATAAATTCAATTTTTTTATGCTTAAAAACATACACACTACTATCACGTCACATGCTATGTAGTCAAACAACAAAAAAAAAATCTTCCTCGTACCCTTAAAAAAAATTATTGAATGGGAAGTATTTTAAAAGCGACAGACGGATGTTCATATACAAACATTCAATGTGGCATGATACGATAGAGAAAATGTGTTCATTTTTAAGCAATGGATTGGTGGGTGGGCTCGGGTGAGATCTTTTTGGTCTCTTAATGTTCCTGTGGCTGAGATACACAAGGAATAAAATAAAATAAAATTTCCTTCTGCTTGTGCTGTGAAATTTATATACTTTTCTTATCATTTCGTGTAAGAAGAAGACGAAGAAAGTAGAAGTAATATGTATAGGATCGGATAGAATGAAAGAGAAGGAACGGAATAGAAGAGAATAATGAAAATGAAAAATTCATCCATCGGTTGCTAAATAGAACAGAAGGGAATGGCATGAGAGGTTGATAATAGATGGAATGGGACCAGAAGCGCATTTTTCTTACTTGGAAGTTCAGCATTTTGAGTTTTAATGTGTATTAATGGCTACAATGCCTTAAAACTAGGTTGGAAATTCAGAATGTTCCTCATCTTGATCCCCAAAAATAACAACAATCCAAAAAAAGCCTGCCTACACCCCTGCTAAGCCATAAAGGACGAAAGAAGATGTAGAAGTGAAAAATTATTTTACCAACGAAAAAAAAAGGAAACGAGAAAGATACGAAAAAAAATATATCTGTGCCGAGAAACAACAACAATTGATTGCAGGTTTAATAGGAACTGTGATAAAGGCAAATCTCATTATTTTGATATTTTTTTTTCTCCCAAACTAAATTTGTTTATTTATTTTTGTGATTTAAACGAGAATGAGAGAAAAAAAAATCATTTATGCTGTGGTTGCAGAATTAGTGATTGAATTTTAATTTAAACATATCCTATGCATATATCATGCACATACACAATTCCATGTATGTACATTTTAGTTTATTTTGCTGTTGTTGTTTTTATATTCGTTTAGTATGGCTAATGCGTGTGGGAAATTTTTTTTCGCCACTTGTTTATTTTTTTTCTGTCTCTCTCTCTCTCTCTAGCTCACACCCGAAAAACAAGCAATTGCAATAAAAAAGTTTGCTCGTTTTTTTTGCACCCCTTTGCCACCTTGTTTAATTTTACTAAATACTCGAAAAAAAATATTTAATTGAATGAAAAATGAAATGAATATATGAGGACTTATATAGTCAAGTACATGAGTGTGTAGGATGTGGGGGTGTGTGAAATGAATGGATGTGGATTTGCTGGATGCTATTGGTTGTTATTGGAATTTTGTTTGATTTTATGATACCTTGTATGACTCTGGCTATTAAATTTTTTTTATGGATAGAACTTAGTTTGAAATTCTCTCTCAAATTACTTTTTAAAAACCAAAAAAAATTAATTCTTTTTTTAAAAATCCAAAAATCCACAAGTTCTTATGTCTCACATACAACCCCTCAACCCCCCATCCCCTTTAATACAAAATTAAGTAAAGTTAAGTATCGTCTTCATTATTATATTTAATGGAAATTTTCCTTTCTTCATGCCTCCTTAAAAGTATAATTTACAGTTGAGCAGCTTTTATGATTGCAATAACGTTTTTATTCTTCATGAATTTCACATCCCTTCTGGATCAAAAAGAGAGATTTTGTTTAAAAATTATGAGGAAATTCGCTGTCTTTTTTTAATTTTGTCATTATGGAAGTTTGTTTTTGGATTGACAGTTTGGAGGCATTCTTAAATGAGGTCTACAAGAAGTTGAGAATTTAAAGCCTCCTTTTTAAATATTTTTGCCTTTGCCTTTGTCAAAAACTCAGCACAGCCTTCGTCAAAGTTAAACATCATTTATGAACGACCCTTAAGGATCTGCATTTTAATATGAGTGTATTTTGTAAGGATAATTCAAGTAAAATTAACTTTGTTGAAAGTCAATGAGTGTAAGAACAGCCCTAAAATGACCTTGATGATGATTTTCTAGCTCCTCGTTAAATAAAATTTGATGAAAATGAGAAAATACGGAATTAAAATGATGAAAATTATCAAAAAAGTCAAGGTTTTAACCTTTAGCAACTACATTAAGGCGTTTAGTAGTGAATAAGAAGCCTTAATATGTTTTCGATGCTTTATGAAGTAAATATCAAAAATTACGAGATTTTAACAATCCTACACATAAATATTCCTAAAGATTGTTATGTTAACAGGCAAAAAGTATGTCAAGAATATAATTTGGTACCTGATAGTGAGACTTGGAATGCTCTAGAGTGTATGACGTTGTAAAAGGAATTTTACGACAAATAATCTAATTCCTTCAAGCATCATTGCTCATATTTTGAGTGTTAAATGACAAAATATTGTAAAATGAGCCCCTTTCCTTCCAGATTCTATTGAAAAAAATCCACAACTACATCCAAACAATTCGAGAATGAAAGAGAACAAAATAATCCTAATCTGGATGAAAATCATTTCAGTCACTAAAATCCTTTAAAAAAAACATAATTCAATAACCTTTTATTTATTTGTGAAAAGTTTATTCCTTGATTTGACCACTAGCAATAATTTCAAATATTTAATGGCAATTGATTAAATTTTTCATTATTACCCCCTACAATTTATACATACGCAAACTATTTATGTGAACATTTAGTGCTACTTTTTTGTGTGTGGATAAAAATAAATAAACATGAGTGGTGTGAGGAACTGAGAAATGTTTTATGTGAATGGAAATTTGCAATGGCAGCGTTAGGAGAGATAAGTTGTGGAATGAGTTAAATTTTGACTGTCTGGATGAAATATTGAGCAGTTGAATTTTTATTGCTTTTTAATTTGACTTCTAGTTTTTTTTTTATATTTTTGAAACTTCTTAAAATTAAAAAATTGATTATCAAAAATTTTAAAACTCAAAATTTAAATTCCATCAAGTCCCAGTCTACATTTTGAGTCAAACCGACGACAATTCAACCCAAAATTCAAGCTTTCAATTGAAAAACTATCGATAAATATAAACGCATGATGTATAATTTTGTTATCCTAGCCGTATGTGCAATTTTGATGAATAATTCTCATGTCCAGTTCCAATGGTGTATTGAATTGAGTGGGAAGAGTGAGTGTTAATTGAAAATAATTCGCCATAATAACCAAATAATCAGAAAATGCATTAAATAATGATATTGACATCGAGAGAACTGAGAGAAAAATTGTTATTCAAGGAATTCGCACTGCTTTAAGGTTTTTGAATGAATTTTTTGTGGTTTGAATGGAATTATGTGTAGCTGTCCAGTCAATTTGACAACTAGTGTCGATGGCTATAGCTAGTAGTGTTTGTAAATGACCGCATTAGTCGAGTAGATAAGCTATAATCCCAAAAATCACACTTTCTTGTAAGGACGAGGGTTCGATTCTCAATTATCTAATAGATTGAAGTTGATATAATCGCAATCCTTGATACTATCGTCCACTCCTTTGATACATCATAATAATAACATATATCCCCAAAAAACCACGTTAATGGTGAATAACCCGACAAGATGTAAATTCTATTTTATGTGATATTGAACACCATGCCCAATATCCCATGCATTAATTCACGATAAATTTATTTAATTATTATTATCATTATATTTTACTGACGATTGGTCTCTTTCCTTGTTCATTGATTATCATTACAGGTACAAATAGTTTACAACAAAATCATATACAACAATATCATAGCATTAATAATAATATTGATCAGAGTGATGTAATCGATGCAAATATTTTGGTGACAGAAGCGTCGTCCGTTAGTAGTAATAGTAATAATAAGAGTAAACGCAATACCGCAACTAGTAAATCTCGAAACGCTAATAATATTAATAATACAAATAATCTAATAAATAATAACGCAACGCCAATTCACATGAGCAGTAACAATTCTTCATCTAGTAGTATTAATAGGACTAATAACAATCATCAGCAATTAACGCCTGGTGCGTCATCATCGTTGTCGAATCAAGTATTTAATAATAATCAACAACATCAAAATAATAACATTAGTCAATACGCCAACGCCAACAACAACAATTATAGCAATCAAAATAATCATTTAAATAGTAATTTTAATATGGTAGCTGCTGGACAACAAGGCGTTATGGACGTCGGCTATAATTCACAGGTAAATATTGCAATTTATTATATATATATTTATGCTCAATTGATTGTTAACTCAAATCTTGTTTAAATCAGATGAACAACATGGGAATGCATTCCCAAAATTCCTGGAATAATCAAATAAATTCAATGGGTGGTAATGGAAATGCTTCAAATGCCAATAATGGTAATAATATGGCAAATATGTCAAATATGAATGGCATGATGAATGGTGGAATGATGAATCAAATGAATCAAATGAACACCATGCATGCAAATGGTGGAAATCCAATGCAGATGGGCAATATGAACAATATGAATTCCATGAATGCACAAATGAATGGTGCCATGAATTTTAATAATCAGAGACATCATCAGAGTCAAATTAATCCAATGACACAAATGGCAAATATGGGAATGAGTAGTGGTGGTCCTGCCAGTAATGGAGCTGTAGGTGGTAGTCATCAAATGAGCACTCAAATGAATGGCATGAATCAGATTAATCAATTAAATCCAATGGCCAAAATGCAAGGCATGGCAAATGGCTATGCACCACCGAGACGAATGTCACCGTATCCAAATCCACAAATGCATACAGCACAAAAGAGGGCAGCAATGTATGGCATGGGAAGTGCCAATCAAGTTCCACCAAGTGGACCAGCCATGAGTCAATTTCCACAGCATCAAGGTGCTGTACCGATTCCATTACAAAATCAATATTCACGACCAGGACAAAATCCAATGAATCCATATGGAAGAAGTCCATCAATGATGCCAACGAATCGACAAAATACTCCACCTTATAATAATGCAGCTGCACAACAGTATTATGGAAATGCTGGTGCCAATGCAGGATATCAAAATATTCAAGGATTTCATCAGCAAGATGGTCGAAATCTCAATTATCAGCATAGTCCCGTTCCTGGCAATCCGACACCTCCACTCACACCTGCATCGTCAATGACACCCTACATCAGTCCAAATCCTGATGTTAAACCAAATATTGTGCACAGTAAGTTGAGGACTTTCTAATCTTTCTTCTTTTTTGGCGGGAAATATAAAAACTTTCGACAGGAAAATAAATTTTGGGTATTAACATTTGAAAATTCCATTAACTCTTTACAGATGAAGAACTAAGATTAACTTTCCCAGTCCGGGATGGAATAATCCTACCACCATTTCGTCTCGAACATAATTTAGCTGTTAGTAATCATGTATTTCAACTTAAGCCAACCGTTTACAATACACTTATGTGTCGATCTGATCTCGAATTGCAACTCAAATGTTTCCACCATGAGGATCGTCAAATGAACACAAATTGGCCAGCGAGTGTACAAGTATCGGCTAACTCGACCCCACTTGAGATTGATCGTGGTGAGAATAAGAATACACATCGTCCATTATACTTGAAACAAGTCTGTCAGCCGGGCAGAAATACAATTCAAATTACAGTCAGCACTTGTTGTTGCGTAAGTAGTCGTGAATTTAGTTACAGAAGTGCAATTGATGCTAATTCACCTATTTCCGTACAGTCTCATCTCTTCGTATTACAACTCGTTCATCGACCGTCGGTAAGGCATGTTCTACACACATTACTTCGACGAAATCTATTACCTGCTGAGCATGCTGTGGCCAAAATAAAGCGTAGCTTTGCTCAGGGCCATATTCAATCACCTCAAACGAATCCATCTGGCGTACCGACAAATGATAAGGACGGCAGTATGGATCTACAACAATCATTAAAAGTATTCCTCAAGTGTCCGATCACGTGCAAGAGAATAACATTACCAGCACGTGGACACGATTGTAAACACATACAATGCTTTGATCTCGAAGCATATCTACAAATTAATTGTGAGCGTGGCAACTGGAGGTGCCCTGTGTGCAAGTAAGTTCATAATTTTTAAACTTTGTTTTTTTTAAGGAGTTTCGATAACTGACCATATTGTAATCTTTGTCAACAGTAAACCAGCTTTAACAGAAGGACTTGAAATCGATCAGTATATGTGGGCAATATTAAACACCTTAACATCACAGCAAGAAACAGAAGAGGTGATGATTGATGCACAAGCAAATTGGAAGGCAATTAAGCCAATGAATATGAATGGTATAAAGCAAGAGCCGCTTGATCCAGACAGTGGTAAACAGTTTAATAAAGTCATGTCACCGGGATCAACATCACTACCATCATGGGATAATATGCAGGCTATGAGTCCATATATGAGTCCGGATATGAACTCGATTGCGAGTGGAAGCATGATGAATCAAAAGTAAGTAGAGGAACTGCTTAGATGTCTTTACAATATTCTTAATTTTTTATCTTTTTTTTGTCAATAGTTACAACCAAAGAAATCAACAATTCGACCCATATGGTAATCCAATCAAGGTAGACCCAATGACTGGAGAATTCACCAGTAATAATGGTGTAAATGGCAATAATAATCCATTAGCACATTTAAATGAATCTGTGAATTCACTCGATCCACTAAATGCCATGGAAAAGTCACTTAATGATCAGGTAAAGTCATTTAAAAATCCACAATAATTCTAGGTTAACTTTAATCTATTCCTTATAGATGCCCCACACGCCTCACACACCAAACGGTGGTCACAACAATCCAATGACACCAGGCGGACCACCGAGTGTACCAAGCGTACATGATAATGTAAATGGCACCAATTCAAATAACTCCAATTCACCTCAGCACCAGCAAAACATATTAAATTCAGCATCAAATATTATGAACTCGCCACAGAGTCTTATGAATTCGCCACAGAATATGATGAACTCACCTCAGAATATGAATCAAAATATGCAACAAAACATGATGAATTCAATAGCAAATCTCACTGATGTATGTTCGGATTTGACAAATGCAGATCTTAATTTCGATCCAGCCGCTGTTATTGATGGCGAAGGTGGAAATGATCTGAATGTGAGTAGACAATTGACTTAGTTGATGTTTAATTCTGATTAATATTAAATTATGACTAGGAAGCATAAGATTATAAATTAATTAAAGACCTTATCATTAAAGATTATTGAAAATTCTAACCTTTTATGAATTTCCATTCTATGCAGCTCCTTCCGGATAATGTAAATGTCGATCCCTTAGAGCTACTCTCGTATCTTGACCCACCACCAGATCTCAATACGCCACCAAGTTCAGGCTCTAGTAACAATGCAAATAATGATGACTTTTTAGCCGTGTTATTTGATTAAATATGTAATCAGCAAGTCGGATGTGGTGAACTTTTGTGATGATGATCGTCAAACGATTGAAATCGACATATAAATCCCTATAAAATGAGATAAAATGTGTTACATTGGTGAGATAAAATTACATGAAAAAAAAAAAAAAATGAAAAATGAAAAAAAACCTTCTCAAGTGAAGAATATTAAGTAAAAAATGTGGAACAAATTTTTAACTTATTATATAAATATATACATACAGCAATTGTGATTTTGTGCAAAACAAACAAAAAACTAAAACAGTAAAAAATTCAAAAAAAAGTTATTGGACGAAAAAGAAATTGAGTAAAAAATAAAAAATAAATCTTAATTAAAATGAGGAAAAATAATTGAGGAAAAAAATTTATTTCTATAGTATTGTAAGTTGTACATAGACTAAAATTCACACACACACACAAAACAAAATGTTTGAAATCTATTATTCGTAGTTTCATTCATTCATTAAATACATTAAAAAAATGGAAGTAGAATTTTTTTTCATTGTATAAATTGAATTGTGATTAAACCCGAAAAGAAAAGCTTATCCAATATATAAAAAAAAAGTTGAAGGAATTCTTTCAAAAATTCAATTTGAAAAAAAAAAAAATAGAAAAAATTTTCTTTTCGGGCTTATAAGCTAATTGATAATACATCATAGGATTATTGTATAAGTGAACCATAATGTGAGATAAATGAAGAATTAATTAAAAATGCAGATAAAAAAAATGTTGTGAATAACAAGAAATAAATTTTTTATGTTTAGTAAACTTTTTTTCATGGCGATAAGCATAAATAAATTTAAATATACAGACACACAAACTGAACACATGAAACAAACAAATTTAATAAATCAGCAGCAGCAACAGTATGAAAATGATTTTTTTGTTTGGATGACTTTATTGGGGGATTTGAGATGGATTTTAGGGTTGGGTTTTTTGAGGTGTTTTTGTTTTTTTTTTTTAAATTGTGAAAACAATTTTACCTTTTAAAAAGAAACTTGAGCATTGTCTCATCAATTATGACAATTGAACTTTAATTTTTTTTGGTGTTTTTCAAACTTAATTGAGGATTAGACCCCTTAGGAAAGAGAGAGGGGGTCTGGAATTTTTTAATCACTTTAGTTTAATTTTGAGGGGTTTAAGGAAGACCATCTTTGATCTTCCTGACTACATCCATATTCTAAATAACCAAATTCAACATGCATTAATGATCATAGATAAAATTCTTAAAGGATACTATTTTATGGTAATCGTACGACTGTCGATTGACATTCATTTGTGTCATAGGTTTTTAAAATATTTCAAAAATGAAATGTTTTAATTTCAAAGCAAAAACAATCTCAAATCAACCCCATAAAGCCCTCCAAAAGCCATCTCAAATCAACCCCATTAAGCCTCACCCCCCATCCCCTCCCAAGAAAATCACATTTAAATTTAATTGTAAATTTTTTTATAATTTGATGTTGTCATTTATGTATAGTTAAAAAGAGAGTTAAGCAAGAAAAAATGATGAGAAGACCTCTGTTTTAAAGAGATTTTTTTCGATCTTTATTTTTATTTTATAATTTTTTAATTATTTTATTTTAAAGTTAACAGAAAAATTTTACATCTTTACACTTAAAAGTTTTAAAAATTCAAAAAAATGGATTTTTTTTTGTAAAAAAAATGTGGAAAGCTTTTAAATTTTTATTAAAAAATGATGTACATAATGCTTTAAAATATACATGTAAAAAAATAAAAAAAAATATACATTATATTGAGAAGAACATATACACCTACAATTTGACATTCACATACACCGAAAAAAGAAAATTATTAAAAAAAAATTGAGATAATTTTTTGATTGCGTGATCGTCACTCGATTAACAAGTCCGGGGATGATTGTCGTTGTCATCATGTTGTTTGTTTTTATGTAAAGTAGTGAAGAGAATTAAAATCAAATTTTTTTGAAGAATGGAAAATTTAAAAAAATAAAAAAAGTATAAAATTGTTCGATACATTCGGATAATTTTGATTAAATGTACATAAATTATTTAAATGTGTAAGTAAGAAGTGAGAAAAGAGAAGAAAAATCTTAAGAAAAATATGAAAAAAATTTGAGGAATAAATGAAAAATATTTGAACTGCAAATGAATTTTTTTCTTCTTAAACTAAAAATCTATTGCAATGTTGTTCATAATTTGGATACATTGAAAAAATATATTTATTTTAGATAGGTTTAAAATTCAAAATTTTAGCTTAACATTAAGTTAAAATCACGGTTAAGTATGAATTGAGAATTTTTATTGTTTTTAGGAAATACAATTTAAAATTGCTGTTATCGATTACAGCAATTTGTCTGATTATGACAACATATCTACTTGTAGTTTCAACTGATTATGGTATCCGAATTAAGCTTTCATCTAACTATATCTTTGTTCAATCAGAAATAAAGTTTAAGATGAATCCAATTAATAAAATTTCAAAAAGTTCTTTTACATCGATCAAACACTGTTTTAGATTCAAGGAAGACGCAGGAAAGGAATTCCAAAATGACATTGAACTTCAATTTATAAATTGACAAAATTATGCAAAATTCTAAAGAAGAAGTTCATCAAATTTTTCAGAATACTCAAGAGTTAATTACTTTGAAGTAACATACGTTTTTTAAAGAAATCATTGCTTCTTACAAAAGTAATTGGCAACTCCTGACATTTCAATTTTGCACCTATATTCTCTGGAAAACTCAATTTTCTATGATGCAACTTTTCCAGAATTGCCATCTACCTTAGTTCATCAAATTCATCATTTATTTACTCACAAACAAACGATCAACTTTAGCTTTTTCCATAATTAATCAACTATTCTAATCCAAAGTTCACAACTGATTAAAAAGCCAAAAGCTCAAAAATTTGCATTCAAATAAGTCATCAAAGCCAGACTTTTCGTTTGATTAAATCATAGTTTAAAAGTTCAGAAAACTTTATAATCACCAGAATTAATGAAATCAAAATTTCTGAGAACTTTAGCAACATTACAAGCTTAGCTTGTTGATTAAATCTGAAAAAATAATCATGGAACTGATAATGTCGAATGTTTAATTATTCAGTTCCACGAATAACAGTTGATATTAAAAGTACTGTTGTGTAATACTTTATTGCTGATAAAAATACGATAAATTAATTATTTGCTAGCAGCGTCCTTGAGCTTGATAACTATTTATTATTTGGAGAGATAAGGAATAGGAGCTGTAAGGTTAGACATTAGATATTTTGAGGTTTTTCGATAATGTTCAATGGTTTTTCTCTAAAATAAATCTTAAACATAATTGTAGCCATAGAAGAGTATCAGAATCTACATTTACAAATATTTACAATCTCTAGACAATGAAAGGCTAAATCAAAACCTGAATATTGACGAAAATTTCCCAATATTTTTGTGAACATAGCTAACAATAATCACATAAAAGCTTCAACAGCATGTTTAATATTTCCCAGAAAAACCATGAAATCAAATATTTGAGGTTGTGATGGATTTGAGTGGGTTAAAAGCTAATCTGATGAAATTTATTGGTTTGATGAATCTAATAGATAGAATGACTTTTATGCACACAAGTGTTGATCACTATTACTAGGAATTTGATGGTCTACCAACTCAGCTAGAGATTATAACTCTCTTGAGATTGAATTTCATACTGTATTAGGGATATAGATGTTCAAAATGTGTGTTTGTAACAGAATCTTGAACTTAAATGAATGAATTAATGAAAAAATAATTTAAAATTAAAATCAATGTGATTTGTTTTTTTTTGATTGAAACAAAATTAATCTTTAGTTTAATTAAATTATTTAAAAAACCTTTAAAAAGAAAAGAAATATTTTGCAGTTCAAAAATCTTCTAAATTCCTCAATAATAAAAATAAAATAACCTTAAAAACGTAACAGTCATCATCAACTAGGAAGAATGAAGAAAATTAAGGGCACAAAAAACAATTTATAAGAAGCATTAGAAAGAAAACAATTTGAGACCAACAGGAATAACAGCAATTAACGATGGTTCCAATATTGTATTAAATAATTATCATTTACTCGTCCTTATCATTTTTATACACAAACAAATAAATTTAAACGACAAAATAAAAATCCCACGCAATAGATTGCGTAAAAAATTACGAAAATGTGCCACAAAAAAAGCTTCAATGAAACTTTTCAAAAATCAAAAACAAAAAAGATTATTTAATTTTTGAGTCATTAATTCTTCAGAAAGGTTATAAAGGTGGGAGTAGAGAAATTTAAACTTTTTTATGTAAAACTCAGAAAATCCTTTGAAATGTCAACAAAAAATGTGAAAAGTTTGGAAAAATTTGTATCTTTATTTTTAACTTTTGCATCATTTTTTACGTCAATTTGTGATTTTTGCATAAGTTTTTCAATATTTGCATCAATTTGAAAGTTTTTGCGTCAATTTGCATTTGTGATGCAAACATAAGCATTATTTTAAACGTTTTTGCATCATTCAAGAATTCGAGAATCGAAAATCGAATCGATCTTTTTATATTTAATCCAAAAGAAGCACCAAAAACACAAATTATGTTTAAAATATCCCAAGAACTTTTCAACAAAATTCCAAATCTTTAAAATCTGACAACTCAGTTCTTAAACAAACGCCTTAAAGCAATTCACAAGAATTTTCCTCGCTTGTTTGATCCGAATCAATCTGATGTCTAAAAATTCATTGAGTTTCCTCGTTTTCCGGAGAAAATGTTTTCCTTATTGCCACCCATTTCACGTTTTTACGTCATCGCATCTTAATTTTTTTTCTCTTTTGAACCTTTATAAAAATACCAAGAATAGAAGCCGAGGAAGGGTTTGTCACCCATCTGAGTGCTTACGTAATTATTCTGCACCGTAAAACGTTGTCGATGACGTAGTTTGGTTGCTGAATAAAACAACAAAAAAAGGTCATACAAATGACAGTTTATGTGCTTGACAGTCAATCGGACGTTTTTCTCAGAAATTATTCAATCCGATTGTTTTGATGATTTGATTCAAGCTACCTTGAAAATGGATTGCGCTTATACTTCTTCTTGAGAATTAATAATAGTTAAGTTTATTTTGATTTGTCGAAGTTCTTGGAAAAGATTGGCATTACATTAGCTCAAACCAAGGGAACAATATTTGCGACATTTAAGGGAATCTAAAGCAGAACTGAACTTAAGCTCGATTGAGTAGATTCAAAATTCAAACAGAGTTCGCCAGCATTTATGAAGTACAACACTTTATGCAAATTAGTTCGAACAAACTCGAAACTTACTCAAGTGAACTTTAATCTTTGATTCTAAAGTCTTTAAACTGAATTGAGTCATCAGAAGTCTAAAATCGTCAAAAAGTCCAAAATTTTTACATTTTAAGATTGGAAATACGAACAACTTAATGCAAAACATTAAATCAACTAGAAAACTTTGTTTAAATTCAAATTAACAAAGAACTTGATTTGAATTTGATATTCTTTGAATCATCAATCTCAGATTTAATTCGTTCATTAGTGAAAATGCATTTTACTTCACAACAATAAACAAAATCATGCATAAAAGCCACTCACACACATGCATTAACACAAATACACACAAACATTTTTAAATAGATACAAAAATCATTTTTCTTATCGTTAAAAATGCAAAAAGAAAACGAAGAAAATTTCTACCAATTAATAAAGAAATTAATGTCAAAAAAAAAACTAAACTTAATGCAAATTTTTAAAGAAAACATGGGAAAAAATAAAAAAAGTACTTAAATTAAATTTTTAGATTAAAACATTTAAGAAAAAGAAAATCTTAAAAAGAATAAATTTTCCCACTTAAGAATTAAAAATGAAAGTGTCATCGTGAGGAAGTATCATTTAGTTTTATTATGTAGAAAATGTACAGTTTTAAAAAATTTCTCTTTACAAAAAAAAATGAATAAAATCTCAATTCTAAAAAAACTCCAAAAATAAAGAAAAAATGAAAATAATAAAAAAAAACAATTTAAAATTGAAAAGAATTTTTATGGAAAAAAGTGAAAGTAAGAATAAATGATGAACATTTTAATTGTGTAGTAAATATGTATTGAATTAACTCAATTTGTATTATTTTTTTGTAATTTTTTATCTATCTCCTTTATTTTTGGGATGTGATTTATAGATTTGGCAACCATCTAGTGTAGCAATGAAGAGCTACTTGGATATAGTTTAGGCTCTGTACTAGGGTTCTGTTGAAAGATTATACCAGAAATTTTGGAGAATTTTTAAACAGTTTAAATTTGACAAATATTTTCATAAAAAAAAAAAATAAAATTAATTCAATTTACAATCAAAATTTTTGAACATTTCTAGACAAATGACAATTAAATCAGAACTAGAAATCACACTTCAAAAATATTTTAATTATTATTTGCTACCACTTGAGTGAAAAACGAGTGATTGTACAAAAAAAAACAAAAAAAAATTAAAAAGAAAAATAAGGAAAATTGAAAATTCTTAAATTTTTCACTCAGGTCCTAAACTTTCACAACGCTTCTCAAGAAAGAAAAACTAAACTTAAAAAAAATATTAAAATAATAAAAAAATTAATAAATGTGGTAGTTGCAAAGAGAACTTTTCAAGTGTAAATCTTAAAACTAAAGAAATTAATAATGTCGGGAAATTGACACAAAATTAAAAACTTAATTATTTTAATTTCATAATTCGGTGATAAATCTTCCCTTTTTTTTTCGATGACAACAGAAGCAACAAAATCCATAAAAAGAAATTCTTAATAAAATGATGGAGAAAATTCCTAGATGATTAAGACATAAACACACACACAATGTTACATAAAAAGAAGGAAAATTATGATGGTGGAAAAATAAAGAAAAATGTATTATATTTGATCTATGAGAAAATAAATTAAAATAATATATGAAAAATATACGCAGAAAGTTTTTTCTTGTTCCTTATCAAGTTTTTGCTATTTGACTTTCAGATCTCTGTTGATTATTTGGTAAGTATCAATTTATTTAAGGGCAGAACTATGAATAAACGGTTTTGTAAAAATCGACTTGAAATTTTTCTCAACTTGATAAATTCAAAAAAACCGTTAAATTTTAAATGACATTGAGTTTAATTCCCTTTTCACATTAATTCATCTTTTAAAAACACCAACAAATTGTATTTTGAGTATTGATAAATTTTAACGGAATTTTCAGTTTCAAATTAAGTTGTGTTTTGCAATAAAAGGTTATAATCAGGGTGGGGAGATTTTTTGCGATTTAGGGTAAATACTTTTGAAAATTGCACACTTTTGAAATTTGCACAATCATATGAAAATAAAAAATACAAATTTCTCCCAGAATATCCACTTCTGATAATACTTTCTTAACAAAATCTTTGTATAATTATTGTACAAATGCTTTTGTACCACTTTGAGTTTTAAAGGCATCAGGAAGATGAATTACTTCAGCAATCAATTTTTCATACAAAACGAAACTTTGCAAAATATAAAGTTTTGGGATAGAATCAGTGGCTTTATCAAATATTTTGATATGCAAAAATGTAGTTCTTAAGCTGTTTAAAATTTTGGAAGTATTTCTTTTGTGAAAGAATAAGCGGAAGTGCCCAAAAAAAAGCTTGTTTTTCACTTTTAAAATTTGCACAAAAATGTATCAAAACTTTTAAAATTTGCACACTTTTAAGCTTACGAGACATTGCAAAATTTGATGTAAACATTAATTCTTCTGATGTAAACATTAATTTTTCTGATTCAAAACATTAATGTTTTATGCCTTAAATGAAGATAAAAGAGAATGGTGATTTTAACAAATTAGAGGATATCTGAGGATATATTTTGGACATGTCGGTTATGAAGAATTTAATCTAGAAAATCAAGAAATGTGCTATGCATCTAAACTTTCGATACAGTAAGTTTTAATTCTTACAAAGAATAATTGCATAAAGCAGTATAAAGCATATTAAAATAAATATTTGCAATTTGGAAAATTTAAAAGTGGTCTTTATTTTATAGATGAGTTTAAATGATGTAACAAACAGCTTATATTTGATAATTACTGTTGATATTCAACGACGATGCTTCTGACGATGTTATAAAAACACAATAACAATAAATTTATTGGATTTCTTTGGAACTTTCCGACGAAACATAATATTTCTCCACCCTTAAAATTGTAAACAAATTGTTTGTTGACACAAATTTGATTCAAAAATGTCATGCATTGCTAGGGGCCATTCACTTATTACGTAACGCTTTTAGGGGGAGGGGGGGTCTAAGATTTTGTTACGGTTCAGACAAGGAAATTTTTTTTTTCATACAAATTTTGTTACGAGGGGGGGGGGTCTAAGAAGTCATTTTTTCGCGTTACGTAATAAATGAACAGCCCCCTATCAAAAAAGTGTGCAAATTTCAAAAGTTTTTTGTGCAAATTTTAAAAATTTCCATGCAAATTTCAAAAGTTTTTTGTGCAAATTTTTAAAAATTTCCATGCAAATTTCAAAAGTTGAAAATAAAATGCGAATATCACTGCTGATAAGCATCGTAGCTTTAAAAACGAGGTTGGAAATGAAAATTTCCACTATTTTCAATAGTTTAAAACCTTAACAAAGATCGGTTAAAAAGTTTCACGCATATGAAATTTTCATGAACAAAATTGTGCAAATTTCAAAAGTATTTACCTTAAATCAAAATCGCAGAATTTATTTTTGATTTTGATTTAAATCTCAATGAAAAATGATTTCAAAAAGGGATTTTGATTTAAATCATTTTACCCAAGTGATTTTTTTCTCGATTTTTATTTAAATCTTTTCTCAAAGGGATTTTTTTTTTTGGGATTTTGATTTAAATCTTTTGTATGAAAGATTTTTTTGGGGATTTTAAAATCCCTCCATATAAAATTTTTTGTTTGCAATTTCTCAAATTGTTTTTCAAATCAACAGTTTTCAGTTGCAGTTCCTCACAAGTAAGAATACAGTTGATCCTTTTTCGGCCAGAATCTTGCAACTGGATCTTTTAGATCCAATCATTTCTTTAATAAAGTGATTTTAAAATCCCAAAAAAAAAATCTCTTTGCAAAAATGATTTAAATCAAAATCCCCTTTTAAAATCATTGCAAAAAGATTTTGATTTTTGATTTAAATCACCCACCCTGGTTGTAATGTTGATAGTGAAACTCTATTTTTTGCATATATCTCTTTAATTAACCCATTATTTTAAATAATAAGAGCACATAATGGAAGCTAATAGGAACGAAAATTTGATAAGATCCATTTTGTGATATTAAAATGGCTAGTTAAAGAGAAAATTAAAGAATAAAAAAATTCAGTTTCGATAATGTTGACAGGTAAACGCTTTTAAAACAGGAAAAACTCATTAATTAATTAATGTACAAAAGTTCTCAAAATTCAAAACAGTGACTATCAAGTTTCTACACAATATAAAAGTTAAAAGATTTTTTGACAAAAAAATCTTTCGTAGATTTGCCCATGCTACGGACATTTCAGTGTCGAATTTTTTCGACATGTTTAAATTTAGTCGACCTAGCATTTGAATATTTTAAAACCGTTAAAAATTTGTCAATTTTAAGATTTTAAGCATTAATATTTAATTTCTAGTATGTTTCTTGGATGATTTTAGCTTAACTTAGCTAAACACGAAGCTAAGAATAAGAATCGTTTTCCCAAGCCTTGTTTTTGCCGGTATTTGCAAAAAATATTCATGAAAATTTAACGGTTTTTTGAAATACGTTTAAAAAACATTTGTATGGTTTTACAAATCACTTTTTGCTGTTGTACGGTTTTCAAGAAAAACTGTTGTGTGGCTCTTAAACATTCAAATTTCAAAAGTACGTTAAATTTTCCCAGCTTCATTTTAGATTCTATTCATCTCCGAGAACTTAAACTTTTATCATAACTTAAATACTGACAATAATGAGCTTAAAACTTGGCAATAAAGTCCAACAAAATCAAATCGTCAGCCTGAAAAGCTGTAAACAGCACAAATCACAAACAATTTCCAATTTTGTGTCTCAGAAGGAAAGAAAATTTATTATTTTACTTTTAAGATATAATTAAAATTAATCGTTAAATGCAAATGGTTGATGGATCATTGAATTACTTGCTACCACCGCCTGCTTGTTGAATTAGCGTGATATTGTCACCTTTAAGCATTATCCTGCCAAGATTCTTTCGCTTGTTTGCTGTCTTTACATTATATTCTTCTGCATCATCCAGCACAAGATTCATGTATTCATCAAATCCAATGATGGCTCCTTCTATTCTTAAATTAATATTTTCAAAGATCCAGACGCAAACTCTCGAACGATTTTGTAAATATCTGAAAATTAAGTTGATGGGCTGTACCATAACCTTCTGTACTTTCGTGTTGCCTTTGAACGACATGTTGAGTGCTAAAATGAGACGTTAGAGTTATTAATATTGTGCAATTAATAAAATTTGTTTTTTGTTTTCGCTGGATCTTAATTTTTGTAAATATTGGCTTAAATCAACGAATTTTCCTGATTCCTGTATAATTGTAAGATAGCGCGTAATGAGAAGAATACAGTACTTACGTTTGTGTTACTTCAAGTTGATTAATTAACGTAGAAATTAAGAAAATGCAGTTTTTTGCTGTAAAGCCGCTTGAAAACGATTTCAATTCGATTATCTGACCAACAAAAAAAGAATTACGAGCGTGCTTGAAAAATAAATCAACGGCTATTTAGAATTCAAATCTAATCCGACAACGACTATCCGAACGTAAACAAAACGCACGTGAACATTAAGAATGGGACCAAAAAGTAAGAAAAATAAGAAAAACAGTGGAAATACGACATGGAAGCAAGTGCAAATTGCTGGATGTATAGAAGGTGATAATCTTGACGGATTCGCTGGATTGGAAGTGCTAGAAAATTACGATTCATCCTTTTTATCCGGTGATTTAAAGAGAAGAAACAAATTGTACCTAAACAATGAATTGGATGGTGAAATTTTTGAGTCTAAGAGACGCAGACATGACAGTGATGATGAACCAGATAAAGAAAAAGTTGAAGAGAGTGAAGGAATTGACATTCAGGAAGTAAAGAAACCAGCAAAAAAGAAGAAAACTAAGGAAAAGGTTCAGAAAGAATTTAATACGCTTCCTGGTCAGTTCGTGCTGCTCAATCCACCAGTAATAGATGACATCTTTGAAGATCCTGAGAATGCAGAGATTAAAGCTACTTGGAATGGAATTGGCATTACGTCAGATGAAATAATAAGAGCTTTAGTCGAATTAAAGTTTAAAACTTCAACAGAGATCCAGAAGCTTACAATTCCAGTTTCTTGTTATGGAAAGGTCGATATTTTAGGAGCTGCTGAGACTGGAAGTGGAAAAACCTTAGCTTTTGGACTTCCAATTATTCAATGCATCCAGAAACGACTTAAAGATCATGAAGATGAAGTCAGTAACTTCTTTGCACTGATTTTGACACCAACTAGAGAGGTAAGCATGCTTAATTTACTTTAGATTGCATTTTATATATTCTTTTTCACTTCCAGTTAGCTCAACAAATCTATAATCATCTTAATGCCGTTGCTAAATACACAAATGTGACGATTGCAAGCATTATTGGTGGACTAGCCACAGTAAAGCAAGAAAGAGTCCTTAAATCTAATCCACATATTGTAATTGCAACTCCAGGAAGAATCTGGGAACTGTTTAATGACGGAAATCAGCATTTACAGAAACTTGTGAACGTCAAGCATTTAGTCATAGATGAAACAGATAGAATGATTGAAAAAGGACATTTTGGGGAGATGGAAAAGATCTTGGAATTGCTTAATAGTGCAGAATCTAATCCAAATCGTCAGACTTTTGTGTTCTCAGCAACATTAACGATGCTCCATGATTTGCCTGATTATATCACTAAGAAGAAGAAGAAATTTGTTAAGCCAGCCGAAATGACACGCGAGCAGCGAACTGACATGTTTGCCATGATGTTTGGTATGAAAAATCCGAAAGTATTTGATATCACAGATAATTCTGGTGTTGCTGGAAAAGTCATTGAATCGAGGATTTTGTGTTCGTTGGATGAAAAGGACTTCCATTTATATTACATACTGCTAAACTTCCCTGGACGAACAATCGTGTTCTGTAATTCAATAGATTGCGTTAAGAGAACTGTTTCAGTGTTAAGTCACTTGAATGTCTCACCAATCTGCATTCATGGACAAATGGAACAGAAACAACGGCTCAAGAGCTTAGAAAAGTAAGGAATATAATGATGGTATGAACTTTTAATTTACTGATTGTATTTTAGGTTCCAAAAACAGGCAGAGAGCGTGTTAGTAGCCACAAACTGTGCAGCAAGAGGTCTTGATATTCCAAATATTCAGCACGTCATTCATTATCAGGTTCCAATTACTGGAGAAGATTATGTTCATCGGTCAGGTATGGCATGTGTGATTTTGTAGACAATTAAAAAGCTAATGATGATATTTTACAGGAAGAACTGCTCGTGCTAATAAGGAAGGTCTATCAATCTTAATCATGGAACAAAATGAAATCAAAAACTTCTTAAAGCTGCAGAAAACTTTAGGACGAAGTAAGTTCCACCTATTTCTTTTAATGTCCATGACTTATACTTAATAATGATTTATTTCACAGACGAGGATCTGCCAATGTTCCCAATTGACCCCAAAATCATGAAGAATGTCAAGGATCGAGTAAGATTAGCCAGAGAAATTGAGTCAACAGATTTGCAAGTTCGTAGACTGAATGACAACAGGAATTGGAAGAAAAAAGCTGCAGATGATATTGGAATTTTAGACTCTGATGATTCGTAAGTATTGCTGGATGTCTGAAGATTAAATTTTAAATCTCAAGATTAATTTTTAAATCGTAAGATTTATTTTAAATCTTGCGATTTAAATTAATCCAAGGCTAATCCTAAAGTTAATATCAATGCAAAAAATCCGTACTTCCATTTGCAGAGAAAACGAATCCAACACAAATCGAAAGCTTAAACAAATTAATCTAGATTTAAAGCACAAAAAGCTTCAACTTGGAAAGTTGCTGTCAATGAGCATAGTTCCAGCAAATATCCACAGTCTTAAGTTTCCAATAGCTCAGCTTAATGAGAAGATTGAAATGAATCCTTTAGAAATTATTAAGGCAAATACAGTACAGCAGAAGAATAGCAAGCAGTTTAAGACATTGAAGTTGTTTAAGAAACGGAAGTGAATTTGATGCTACAATTGAATTGTTTGTAAATAAATTAATCTGAAATAAATTTGAGAATTTTTTAAGTACTTGAAGCTTATTATTTGGACCTAATAAAATCCAAACTTCCTTACTGAAAGCACAATATTTGTTGCCATTTATAACGGTTTTTTGAGATTTAAACTTGTGTTAAGTGCGCCAAAAAATTTCAATCAAAGCAGCGTGGTGTTGTTTTAGTCAAGAAAGTCCTTAATTAAACTGTATTTTAGTGTGTTTCTGTCATTTTAATCAAAAGATATAACGATGGTATTTAATACAAGTCCCAAATATGATGAAAGAACAGCTCCAAAGTCGGATATTAAGTCGATCGAGTTCAGAAATTTGGGAAACCAAGAGTACAGCAGTAAATACTTCGATACCTTCAAAACTTTAAGGTATTACAACATGTCAATCGCTTACGCAGAATCAAAGGAACAAGCAGCACTTGGATATGCAAACAGAAGTGCTGCATATTTTGAGAATCAAAATTATGAGGAATGTCTGCAAAACATCCAGTTAGCACGTAATAATAACTATCAAGCAGACAAAATGTCAAAACTTGATGAACGTGAAGCAAAATGTAGGAAATTATTAGCAGACCAAGTAGTAGATCCAAAGAAGAATCTATGGAAAGTCTTTGAATTGTCATATCCAGCAAACAAACGCATTCCATTCATAGCTGATTGTGTTGAATTAAAGCAGAAATCAGTTGGTCGTGGACTTTTTGCCACAAGAGATTTAAAGCCGGGAGATGTGATTAGCAATGAAGAATCAGTTGTTTACTTTCTTAGAGCTGAGTCTTACTATGAAAGATGCTTCAACTGCTATAAAGCGAATGCATTGAACCTTATTCCGTGTGATAATTCAGCATCAATCATGTTTTGTTCAGAAAAATGCAAGAAAGATGTATACAGGAAGACAATAGATATGGATTTGATTATGTGCGATGACATTAAGCTTTTATCAGAACTTGTTGCTGTATTTGGAAATGTTGAGAAGTTTACAAAACATGCTGTAAATATTGGAGGCTTAAAGACAATATTCGATTATGATTTGAGCAATGCAGAAGATCTGGACTATAAGAAGAATCTTATGACGTGCTTGCTCTCATCTGCTATGAAGTTTGATAAATCACCGCATCATTACTGTAGTATACCCAGCAACATCAAACATTATGTGCCATTGAAACTTGCTGATCATCTTATTGATATTTTTAATACAAACAGTCGAATAGAACCATTTTTGGCTAATATTCATCAAGCACAGAGAGATATTAGATATACGAGAATTAGTCCATACGATCCAAGTATCCCACTTTTTGCTGCCCTTATTAATCGTGGTCGATCTGGAAATGTCTTTTCGGTTCTTCCCGGAAATAAAGTCGTCGTTATTGTAATGAAACCTATAAAGGAAGGAAGGGAAATTTTATTCAGCGACAAGTAAGCCGACATTTAGCAAGTACATGGAATTTTAAATCGAATAAACTATTTCTATATTCACAGCGATCACTTTGAAATGCATGGATATGGTCCAACATTTGATTACGAGAACTTAGGCATTATGGACTTTGAATGGAATTCATTGGATGACTTTTCTGAAGCTAGAAAATATTTAGGAAAGGAATGGAAGTATTTAAAATCAGGATGCAAAGGGCCTTCAATTGATTGTTATCCAACGGAAGCTATTAATGTTATGAGAGAGATTGCTACATGTTGTACCTTTGATAGAACTGAGAATTTGTGCTGTTAAGATAATTTTTTATATCAAGGAATTCTGTGGAATATAAAATATTAATTAATTACTCGTGGAATTCAAGACTTTTTCATTATAGGATCAAAGTGAGTGATTTACAGTTACTATTTAAACTTCGCATGGTCGCATGGAATTTTTTTGTAAATGTTGCAACCGTTATTTTTACATCTTAGAGAATTGCTGCGTTATACGAGTTCTTAAGTTAGCTTTTGATGAATTATTAGGTTTGAAGTTCTAACATTCTAGTCAATCTGAACAAGCAAATTCGTCTGATTTCATAATGATTCCAATTTTTGGATATAATATATATTCGATTTATCAATTTTGAATAGATCGCTAAGGTTTATTGCTTAGCATAAGAAATTCCTTTCACAAGTTTCTTAAAAATCATGCTGAATCGAGAAACCGAGCAGTGAAAATCGTTCAAAAGTAAAGTTAGGAAAAGTTCTGACAGCAACAATTCAATAAAACTTTCAAACAAAGTAGAATCCTTTTTAAAGTTTATTAAATTAATTTCCATTAACCCAAAAACTGAATATTCAGCATGCATGCACATAAAATGAACTTTGACTCTTTCGGAAATGCTTTTCAAAGAAGAAACTTTTTAAGTTTTAACAAAAAAAATATCAATTTCCTCGCCAATGCGGCGGTCTCACAACAATAAAAGATGTTTCCCAATAAAAATCACAGACAATGCATAATTTATAGCTTCCAAAATAAGCCATCGTGAAAGTAGTGGGAGTAAATTTTTAATGAATATCGAGCATTCCTAAAAGTGCATTTTTGTTGCACAAACGACGGGAATCTAATTACCAACTGCATTAGATTTCATAGATTGACACTCCATAAAAGGAGAATTTCAATTTCTTGCATTATTACGACCGTGGTAAAGTGCACATACAGCATAGCTTTATAGATATTTATGATCAAACTAACTATTATTCAGTCATTTAATATTTCTTTCTGTGTGTTTCTATGTTGCTGCTGCTACTTTTATCATTTAGAGATCAAAGAGAAGAAAATTGAATTTTTTTCAACATTACTAGCTTCATTTTTATACAAATTTCATGATTAGAGTTATTATAAAATCAACAAAATGGTTTTTGTGGGGTTCAGTGATTTTAGCTTTAAGTTTGTGATTGGGTGTGAGTTCGAGACTGTTTGTCTGTCATTGTATCTTTGTGCCTACAGACTCTGAAAGTTCGTGCTAGATTTGAAAGAACTTGATTAGTTGTGTCAATCGAATCGGGAATTTCCAAATTTAGAAGTCTGACGGAATGCTAACCTAAACTATTAATATAGTTGAACCTTCAATGTTAGACATCATTTGTGAACGAAATATTAGGGTTCTTTTGTTTAAGATGTTTTGTAAGGTTCCTTTCAAAAGAAAATGCTTGAATTATTACATCAGCTAAGCTCAAAATTTACAAAAACTCAACCTTTATCGGCATCTTTCAAATGCAAATTGAACACCAGCAAGTGCCAACTGCCTAGCTGTTTCCATACATTGCATATTTTTTGAGAAAATAGCAAGAAACTTGAAAAAATAAAAAATCGTGGAAAAAAATTGAGATTAAAACTTAAAAATCTATTTTTTTTCACATTTTACAAAAATATATTAAATTTAATGTTTATGATCATAAATTATCTCCAGCTTGTTACCATTCATTCATTCATTTAGTCTCGTTATGCCATATATTTTCGAGTGTGAGGCGATAAAGACGGAATTATTTGCATATTTTCTTGACTTTTTTTAGAAATATATTTATGAACTTAGCTAAGCTGTGGGAAAGGAAGGTCACATGTTATGAACTGTTGTGTAAATTACACAATTATGTCGTTTAGTATTACAATAATAATCTTTTATGTGCTGCATTTTATGGCGAAAGAATTTTTTTGAGGTGATTTTAAAATTTATTCTGGTGTAATTTTTGTGCTTTAAATTGAAAATATCAATTTTGAGGTGCTTTGGGGGTTTCTTTAATAGCGGAACTTAAAATTAAGCATGCTGAATCAAGAATTAATCTAAATGACTAACAATATAGCTGTAAATTCCATAAATCTCTTCACATTAAATCAGAATCAGCTAGTCTTCTAATTTTAACAAACCGCACTAGCATATAGAAGATATAAATAAGCTATGATATCATCCGACATAATCAGAAAAAGCACAAAACTACTTTTCCACCTCATAACTTTCCATAAAATTACATTTACTGTTTTATATCCCCATAGCACCAGCACCATCATCATCATACGAACAATTTATAGAGTTTAAAGAAGTTGATCATATCACTTCACCAAAAACAGTTTGCAGCATAAATCATTCGTCATAAATAATAATTATGATATGAACAAGCATGTAAAACATTCATTGTGATTCACTCATTTTAAAGCACACCACTTTAGCTCTTGTTTTATTTTTAATAAATAAAATATGGATCGATGAAAGTGAAACAGAAAAAGTCAAAGCATAAATCATGTGCTTTATGTGCAGTTCCTCTCATGTGAGCATCGAATAAATTCAATATTATCGATAAATATTGGCTATTATCTAATTAAAATGATAAATCGATTTAATTGTCAGACGTTAATGATAATTTGATGTACTTTAATTTGCATTAAAAAATATTGCGAAAGTTGATTGTGTCACTGAATGGAGAAATAATTAGTGAGAGTCACGAGTCGTTAAACTGTCCATGCTGCAATTTATTCTGTTTTATTGCAAGTCTTTTGTTGAACATAATAACCTGTTTGTTTTTTTATCTTTTGTTGATTTTTAAAATCAATTATTTAACCGCTTACAGGTGTCAAAGTGGCTTTAAACTTTGTGTGCTCATGTGCTCACTGCTTTATTGTGTATTAACGATTTAATCTTCCTTAAGTAGCTGTTTAATTAAGAGATTTTAATGGTTATTTTTTTGATATGGAGAGGTCCATGGGAAAATGGAACGATCCAAAGTCAGTGATGATGTTAATCTGGACTAGCCATTTAAATTGATCATCATTCTCAATTAAATCGATTATGCAAGATAACACCCTCAGCGTCAATAAAAAGTAGCCTAAAGCCAACCTGAAACTAACCTTAATCATTTTAACATCATCATAATCTGAATCTACTTTCAATTTTATTTGCCTTTATAAAACCGCACATATAAAAGCCACAATAGTCTTGATAATTCCTCATTTACAATAGTCACAATATCGACAATGCCATAAAAACACATTAATTACCATCTCTGTTGTAATATCTTCATTAAGTCGTTCCTTTGAGCCAAATCGAAATGCAATGAAAAATTAAAAATAAAAAAATGCAAATGGACGATTTCATAAAAGAAATTTTCCATGTCTTTCCTGAAGCATAACAATACCGGTGCATAATTAAACAGTCAAACGATGGAAGTAACTCGTGAGGAGTTGTAAAAACACAAAAATTAATAAACTCTAATATGGAATGCTGCTGTAAAATCATAAAAAAATATATGTACATATTTATGGTGAGCTATATAATAATATAATATTCATGTTATGCTCAGAAAATTCCACCTTCTCGTCATCGTATTACATGAACTTTCATCTTCTTCCTCACTTTTCCTTTCATTCAATCATCGTTCGAGAGACCCAAGCCTGTACTTAAGTCCATCTATGTACAATGCGATGATGATGCTGCTCTAATCTCTTTAGTATGATCTGCCGAATATCGTTTGCCGCATGCATATTCATACATACATAAATTATGAACAATTTAACGGCTTCTTAGCATCAATTCAATTCAATCTTAAATGGATACATCCATAATACAAGCGATGATTATCTCATATTGTGCAGAAGACATGCGAAGTTCTTTGAGGCATCATCATCATTGCGTGCAAAATTATCGAATACTTTCACTATCATTCCTATGACTTAACTTCTATTCATTGCGAATTTCAAAGACTTGTTGTATACTACATGATAGATGAAATGAATGAAGAAAGAGTTGTAATCTGTAATCAGGCTGCTTTTTGTTGTTGCTATTATTTCGACAGAAAGACACCTAAGAGAAAATATAAGAAGGTGAGGTGGAAAGAGATGAAGAAATGCTTACTAATAACATTCCGTTCAATCAGCACGCTACGGCGAATCTTTCTTTCCGATTACAAAAGATTTGCGCAATTTATACTAAAAAGAAGAGATGATGAAGGCACGTGTGGTAAGAGAGGAAAGGATCCTTTTTGGGACTCAGTTAAAGGATGCGTATCTATTAAAATATAAGCACTCGATTGACTGAATGCTGATGATGCCCCATCGATCTAAACTTGCCTTCTAAAAGGATACATCAGACCTCAAAGATCTGCAGTATCCGGTCTAAAATAGTACAAAAACATCTTCAAACATTACAGACAAAATATTATTAATACAGCACAAGAAATACACGTCGTGTGCGAGTGATAAAAGATCAGTAAATCATTTAATGATAACATACGATTCAAATGCTTTAATCCATTTAGTTCCATAATAATAATAGTAATAATTGTAACATATTATCTACATGTAGCAAAAAAAAGTATTCGTGTTTCGTGCGAGTTTACTCGCTTTATGCTTACTGACATAATTAATAGGTTGCGAATTAAAATTTCATTATTGGAGGTATTGGGGCATAATTTTACTTTTTTAAAACGTTTTCTTTTCCTTCCCCAACACGTATGCTGTTTCTTTAAAGCATCTGTAATGATTGTGTGATGTATGAGAGAAGAACGGAGGATGATAAATGATTTATAAGCTACTAAATGGATGAATATTTAAATGTTATGTGATGTAATTCTTTTGCTATGAGATAATTTCTAATTATTTGCAATTTGTTGGATGTTGTAGCTATTTAAAAGTGTTTAACTTGATGATAAGTGTATAGCTTATAGCTGGGGGTTTGGATGAGTTTTGAAGAGACTTGATGATTAGTTTGCTGGCACAACATTAATGTCTGAGAACTTGAATGCAAGCAAATTGTCTCAATGTTCAGGAATTTATTGATCAATCTTCTAAAACTCAAAGTTTGCATACTCATTCGCATGAAGTTTACACCAAAACTTTAACTGAGACAGCTTTT